CCCCAAAACCCCAAAACCCCAAAACCCCAAAACCCCAAAACCCCATTCTTCCTCTAAAATTGAAATGGCGCCTTAGCTCTCCACTCAGAACTCTCCCTCAATTCCTGGCTGGCTACTCCATCTGCTCTATTCTTCAGTCGTCCTACTTTCTTCTTGCTCTAGGACCTACTTCTGTTCTAAGCAGAGATCCTGAACTACAGCAGCTTTTCTAAAAAGGCGGTTCTTACATTCTATTTGGGTGTTTTAAGGGAGGTAAACTGTGCTAACTTTGTCTAGTAATGGAAACTATAGGTGGGTAATTAAGAGGTCTATGTAGCACTGGGGTGGGATGTGGGCTCTCTAGTGTGCACCCAGATCGGTAAATGACAAGATAGACAGGTTGATATTGATGTATTGGTTAGAGTAACTTTTTATAGCGTGCAATAATACAAATCCCTTGTTACAGTAATTTCACGCACTTTCTTTTCTTCTATTATATATCAGTTCTTAGCTTCTGCCTCAATGTGTTCTCTTACTTCCTTTATATATTATGCTTTAAATTACTAATAATAGTATCTCGGCTTTCTTTCTCCCATCCTTCTGATCTTCCTCTTCCAGGCCAAGATGGCTTATGAGGATATTAGTTTTACTCTTGCCGCTATCCTTGTGACCACCAGAGACATGGAAAGTGCCAATCCCTTTGTCTTTACCATCGAGACTAATTTTATTTAAGAAGTTTTTACTGATCTTTTCAAGATCTTGTTTCTCAGTTTGTCTAATCTTTAAATAATCAATTGATCGTGGATCCTTATTTCAGCTTCTTATAAAACGGAACCTTGTTCTTAGTATCTTTGGGTAGGGATACAGGAGAGTTATCGTCCTGGAGTAAGAAAAACTTCTTAGATTTCTCTTCAGGCTTAGCATCAATCAATTTTTCTACCTCAGAGACCGGTAATTCACTACTATCGGAGCCAGAATCCTCATCTGGGTGACTAAGTTTCTTCTTCTGCTTGAATTTATTATTTTCGTCTTTCATATTATTGATGATCTGCTTTGCCTTCCTCATCCTGATGAATAAGTTACCCTTGCTGTTATTCTCAATACTTGGTGATGGTAGATCTTTATCTTTGAGCTCTTCTACTGGAATCTCTATCTTAAGGTACACAGAGCGCTTAGAGATTTGAGAATTTCTTTTACCATCTATAAAATTTCAGGCAACAGAGAAATCAGTTGTATAATCCTTAATCTTATGTACCATGTTGTCATGATACTCCGTTCTCTCTTTTCTTGCATTGACATAATTGAGCTTGTAGTCATTATTGTACCTTTTGAGAGAATAAATTCGTAGATTAGAATCAACAGGCTCCTTTTTACCTTTGATGTATCTGTTGTAATAAAAATAGCTATTTATGCAAAAGACCTTGGTAATAATAAGATATCGCCATGCCTTTATAAGCCTCGAATTCCCATTTTAGGTTTTTCTCCATCCAAGCATACTTAAGGATTAGCTTGAACATTCTTAAAGAGTATTTGTACTCTTTCAGTTTTATATAAATGATAGCACGCTTTATAAATGACTTGTACAGAAGGTTATAATCCATGATTCCTTCAGCTGCACTTCTGAGTCTTCCATATGCAAACAAGGCTGTCTGGTATTTATTACAGTGTTCAGCATAGCATGCTAAGGCGAAATAGCAGTTTTTGATGATTGTGACATCAGGCACCTTTAAAGAAACTGCTGTCAACTCTTTAATGTTGTCATGCATTCGCTCCAAATTCTCTTGTTGTAAATCCTTCTCTATCTTCTGTATAATTTCAAATCAATGGGAATAGAATGCTTCCTTCTTGGTATCTTTGGTAAAGCTTGTACCACCAAGAGTTTCCATATCTCACTTATGCATAAGTCCTTTTACTCTCTTTTCCTTCTCTTGCTTACCTTCAACTTGCTTATAGAACTTACTTTTGACATTATCATAATTAATGTCAGGAGATTTAGGAATCCCTTGCTTAGACACTACAGAAGAGCACGAAATACTAGCAGAAGATCCTCATTTCTTCTTTAGCTTCTTAACAGGCCAGATATCAATCTTCTTAGGCTTATACCTTTTCTGACTCTTTTTACTCGGATGGCTTGGACTAGATTCAAACAAATCTTGATATTTATCATAATTAGGCCAAATTTTTGCTTCGTTTATATCAGGAGAAATCATATTAGATTCTATAACAGGAAGGGCATCGACTGAGGAGAATCTAAAGCCTCATTAATCTCTTTACCTATTAAACCTTGAAAATGTGCTGCGTTTATCCTCCCTCAGCTCATCAAGACTTTCTTCTAGATCTACGACTTCACTACAAGTATCTTCTGAAGGAGCAGATCCAGCTGCTTTCCTTACTGGAGGTAATCCCGACTGTTCCTGTCTGCCTGTCATGCATATAATCTTGCTACATAAATTATTTATGGTTGTTCCTAAGGATTTTTCTGTTTCTTAATTTCGTTGAGTCATGGGTTACCTGACTCCGTTCCTCCTTACATGTGTTATTCCCTTGACTCATCTATAAGGTATGGTAAGCCGTCAAGTTTGGCTTTATGGAAAGTGATAAGGGACAGTGAGAAAACCTATGGGCCTGGGAAGATATATGCCTTTTATTCTGGACCTATGCGAGTGAGAGAATGCAGGCTGATTTTGGGGAAGGAGAGTAGGGTCAATTTATAATGGTGATGTTTAGGAGAGCAAGAAGAAGGGTAGTGTTATGGTGATTAATACTCTTTTCTTCCAATTTATGCTGGTTTTTGAGAAAGAACCATACACATTCTGACTGTCTTGTAATTTCATTGACCACATTGTGAAATAAATTTCAGAAATATTTCAATTGTATTGTTATATTTTGGGGTTTTGGGGTTTTGGGGTTTTGGGGTTTTGGGGTTTTGGGGTTTTGGGG